CCATTCTTCTTCTTCAACTCCTGTATGAATCACAGAACACAACATTATGTCAAGTATTAGCACAATCCATCAACAACCACTCGCTGTGTCTGGATAGGTATAGTGCGATATCATTATCATTGTTTGACTGGTTGTGTCTCAGTTATTGTATAAAAAATTCCAACACAACATGGAATTACTTGCACGTGGAGTGTGTATCTAACCAGTCAATATCAGTCTTCGCTGCTGGACTAACCAATAACTCACTACAGATCCAGTGTAAGAGACTGGAGGTAAGGTTGGATAAACCCACTGATGAATTAATACACAAATTATTACAATCATCACTTCTATACAATATTCAGGAGTGCCACTGTGTATTATTATATGGTCAATTTGTTCCCTGTCTTGTATTGTTACAGTTCCTCAATCTTCCTCAATTGAAGATACTGCACTTAGAAGTGAGCCGTCCTACTGTACCAACAGTTGACAATACATACTACACAGACAAGTGCACTGAACTTGAGAAATGTATAGAAATGAAATCAACACTACAAGAAATGGAGATTGAGTATAGAGATGAAGAGATTGAAATAACAAGTACCATTATCAGTGTCATTAGAGGAGTAACAAGAAATAAAACAATAACATCATTAACAATACATGTTCCTATGGCTCCTCCTCCTCGTCTACCTGATGGAGTAATAGAGCAGTTACTAAAGGACAACAACACATTACAAGCTCTTTCACTGAACATACCTGATAAACTCCTACCATCATCACTGAATATGGTAGAGGTGAACACACCACTGACTGCTCTAGAGATAGGAGGATGGTTGAGTAAACTGATGATATCATCACTCCTTCGACATATCAAAGGATTACACTGTGTGATACTACATGATCCATACCCACCATGTCTTCTATTTCTCTCTCACCCCAGTCTAAATACACTTACTTTACCACTAGACACAGCTGAGAATGCTATTGAACTATTTACTATTCTACAAACCAATACTACACTTAAAGCTCTGAATGTGAAGATAGAGGAGAGAGTATATACCAGCAGTATGGGTACTAGTCTACAAGACATGCTAACACAAAACCAAACACTGAAATACCTTGAGATTAGCAGTTGCAAGAACATTATTATTTATGACATTAAATGGCGGCTTAGTGACTTTCCCATTCCCAGTTCATTCCTGTCCTTCCTAACAACTGGTCTCAGACACAACACCAGTCTACAGCAGTTGAGTGTATCCATTTCACTGAATGAAGAGATTAAAACTTTTATTAATGTCATCTCTCAAAAGAACAATCTCACTGAACTTAAAGTGAACTTCAAACCAGATCAGTTATACAGTAACTGTAGTGAGGAAGAGAAGATACAAATAATGACACTGACACCATTGTTTTATGAACAGGTACTACCTGCTGTTACTAACATGTTACAGTCACATACAACCATCAGACTATTGAGGATAGAGTGTGGTGATATTAATGAAAAGTCATCTCAACCTAACTGGATAGAACTAGTACAACATTTATATGAAACTATCTTCATCCATCCATCACTTGAATATATTCAGATTAAAGCTGAATACACTCCTCTCCTGAGGGATACTCTTAAAGATCAAAAGAAGACATTGATTGATAGACACAGAAAAGAACAACCACACAAACCACTGCCAATAGTGAATATTAGTTAGTAAAATTATACTTAAAATACACTAAATTAAAAGTTACTGACACTCACAAACTAAAAACTAATTAATAATTACATTATTTGTCCTTTTAATTAATAATAAAGTTAATTATAAGTTAATAAATAGGGACATCCTCATCATTATTATTAATAACTTTATCATAACCAGTGGGAGGGGAAAGATGATCATAAGACCCGTTAACGAGAGTGGGTGTGGCTCTGTTAACATCAGAGGTGGTTCCTTCTTCTCCTGTGTTCTCCAATAAATGATACTGACCAACTTCTCTTGACTTCCTAGCCCATTCCAATATGGTGGACATATTCTGATAATCAGGATGTTGTGACTGGACCTGTACAATGAGAGAGAGAGAGAACACTTATTAATGAAACCCCTTAGTTAAAATCCACCCCCTGTCTCAGACCTGGCCCGCCCCCCCCCCCTACATTTTACTTCAATTTGTGCTGATAGGTCAGGGGTCCATCTCTCTAGCCCGTTAGATATTTCAATAGCTTTAGGTCTGTCAGTAGGATTAATGGCCCAACAGTCCAACATAAGATCATATATCTCCTAATATAATGAATAGATACAGACCCACTCATTATATATACTCATGATACATAATGACTCCATTCTAATATAACATTAAAGGATGAACCAGTAGTAGGACTGGAGTGAATACTAAAATACAGTATAACCTCCTCCTATTGTGGACACTCTAAAATAAGGACACCTCTATAATGAGGAGGGATAGTATTAGTCCCAATACAATAGTAATGTGTATTAATGAACCTCTCAAATAAGGACAGGTTCATAATCAGGAGCTAGGGTATTA